GGGGGGGCTTCCCCTGATGCTTCTGGGGAGGTAAAATATGGAGTGGTCGTCCCCTCATGTTGTCTTGGGGGAGCCAATACGGGGGGGGTTCCGCTCACATCTTGGGGAGACAGATTGGGGGCATGTTCCCTCACATCTCCTGGGGGGGGGGCTGTAAGGGCCATTAGAGGGTATAGGGCGTCCCCTCGGGTGGGGCGATCAGATGGTTCCGGGGGGATGGGCAGGGTGACCATGCTCTGCTAGGTGCCTGTGAGGGGGCTTTGTAATGGAGGGGTCCCCCCCTCCTCCTCAGATGGGTGGAGTTTCCCTTTTGCTTCCTCCCCGCCCCCCCTCCAGACAGCTCTTTAGTATTCAGGGGTGATGTGGGGCTGGCAGGGATGTCTGTGGAGGGGCAAGTGAGATGGTGCCACCCCTTGTGCTGTGGGCTGCAGCGTGGGGCTTCTGGCGGAGTACGTTTGGGGCTATGCTCCTTGAGTTGGGAACTGGGAGGGAAGAGCTGTAGGGGTCCTGGTGGCTGATCTCCTGGTCCAGGGTCTCTTGGAGACATTGCAGTTTTGGTTGGTGGGGGGAGGGAAGGGACAGGAAGGATGGGAGGTTGTGACTTTTCTGCATCCTGGTAGGAACTTGGGGTTACTGAAGCAGCCCGGTGTTGTATGCTGGGAACAGGCTCATGGTGACTGGACCCATTCTCTTGTAGTTGGTGCTGGAAAGCATGTCTCCTCCCTGGCTAAGGTCACAGAGGGGCTAGAACTGGCCCTGCTGGAGACTTGTTCAGCCATAGGAGCCTCCACATGCTCCTCCTCCCCTCTGCTTTCCTTCTCACTGTGATATGACCAGGGGCGAGCTGTCCCCTCCGTTCCAGCTACTCTTTCCTCTTCTGAGTGTGACATTTATCCCTCCAACATCAAGTGAGGAGAACATCAGTAAAGCCCAGCAGAACTAGCCCAGTTTCTGACTCTGTGACCTTACGCTAGTCCTGTTTGAAGTGTGGCCGGGAAGGAGGTCGTGGATGAGCATGGATTTCCCTATCCAGCAGTAACCCTAATGCCCTCAAAGTCTTTGGAAAATAATCTTGATGCTCACCAAGACACCATGGCAAATCAAGCCTTAAAGGCCTGGTTCTGATATTAAACTGGCCTCTGTGAGCATCGGCGTGTGTTGTGGGTCACACGTTTTGCAGATGAGCTTAGTTGTGCATAGGAGGTTCCATAAGCATCTCCAAAGGCATTGCTAGCATTTGTGAAAGATAATATCTTGGGGGTGCATCTACGCTAGGGAGAATTTAGGCTTCTATTTGCCACGGGTGGTAGCAACCATAGAAGCCAGAGCTGGGCAAGATGTGGGTCCAGGGCCAGATCTGGACTGCAGACTG